TGTGTGTGTGTGAGGCAGTGATGGAGACGTGAACTGAACAAGAGGAGACAAGGAGCAAACATTCACACACACACTGGGAAAAAGCAAACAGGTGAAAACACATGCGCGCACACACACACACACCTCTCATCATGGCTGATCTTACTTTCAGTGAACTGACTAAAATCATTTTTAGGAGATAAACCTTCAAACTCCCTCCAGTCTCAGGACATGTATGGAAATCAGTTTCACATTTTATTCAGGTCGGCTGTAATCGTCTTCATTTAGTGAAGGAACGATGAGATGAAAATCTGAATGTTTTGCTCCATGTCAGCTTTGCAGATTTAATAATAATAATAATAATAATAATAATAATAATTTTAAAATCATCCCAATTTATAAACTCAACTCGTTTTAAACCGTCGTTCATTTATAAACACTTTTTTAGATTTTTCTTTTTTTTTCTGCTTTTGCTTTTCTGTAACACTTTGGACATTATTCAGATCAATGTGCCATGTCAATGAACTTTCAGTCCAGACTTTGACTAGGCCACTCCAAAAAACATCATTTACCTTGTTTTCAGCCAATCACAGCTGGATTTAAGCTCAGATGGAGTTTTTAGGATCATTTTTCTGCAGCAGAACCCGGCTGTGGTTTGACCTGAAGGTCAAACACTGAAGGTCAAACACTGAAGGTCAAACATTAACCTTCAGGATTTACTGAGAAAAATTTACAATTTCATCAACTACAAAAAGTCACATCTACAGTGGATATCAGGATCAGTGTGCTAATGACCCAGTGTGTGTGTGTGTGTGTGTGTACGTGTGTGTGTGCGTGTGTGTGTGTGTTCTGATCTCGGTCCACTGAGCCCTCCCCTCCCTGAGAAACGACCTCAGGACGACCCCAAACCTGACGCCAGGAAAGGTGTGTGAGTGTGTTACACTGACGAGGAGGTGGCATTCCTGTAAACATCCAGGTTCACCAGTTAACACACACACACACACACACACACACAGAAACATTCATCAGGGTATTCAGGTGACACTTGAGCCAGGCAGTAAAACATCCCAACTCAACAGTCCTGGTTCGATTCTACATCCAAACAGAACCGGGTCAGAGTCTGCGGTCAACGCTCCACTAAAGGCCGTTGCTGTTAGCTGGACTTTCTTCTTCTGCTGATCAACAACTCTATAATACATCCAGAGACGCGAGATGCGGTAAACGCAGCGCTGCGGCGGCCATCTTTCCTGCGGTAAGCGCAGCGCTGCGGCGGCCATCTTTCCTGCGGTAAACGCAGCGCTGCGGCG